TGTGGTGCGTCTGTTGCGTCCTGAAGAGCTTGTCGAAAATGCACTACTATTTACTCCCTTGGAATAGAGTAAGATACTCTGTTGAAAAATGATGTATATTCAAGAATTTTTTATCAGAAACTGCTGATTTGTAAATTTTATGCCAAAATAACATATTAAAGAATAATATATTTAAAATACAAGTCCATGGTACATCTGGTGCGCCCTGAAGAGCTCTTTGAAAATGCTCTACACTTTATACTCTACGAATCGAGATAGGTACACTGATTGAAAAATAGTATTTATTCAAATTTTTTTTTGCAAAAAAATAGCAAATTTGTTAAATTTATGTCATAATAAACATATTGAGTAATAACATATTTAAATTACAAGTTTATTGCACATCTGGTGCGTCCTGAGGAGCTTGTCGAAAATACTCTACTATTTACTCTCTTCGAATAGAGTCGGACACATCATTTATGAAAAACTAAATATTCAAGATTGTTTTGCAAAATTAGCAAATTTGGAAATTTTGTCTCAAAATAGATATATTAAGGATTAATATAATTAAAGTACAAGTTTGTGATGCATCCAGTGCGTCCTGAAGAGCTCAATAAAAACGCACTGCTTTTTATACTCCTTAAAAAATAATTTACTATCTATAGTTTTCTTGTAATTTTTTTTATATTGCAAATTTCAAATTGCATATTAAACTGTATTATTAATACATTAAACATCACATTTCTAACACAATTATTCTTTAGTTAGTTATTTTATATTGTCCTTGTGTTTATATATTAAATTGCCTAAAAAAACGAAAACAACCCAAATTAACAAAAATTTCAATTATCAATGCTCAAAAATGGAAATTTAAATACATACATGTATATATAATTTCATGGTCATAAAATTAAATCACATGTTTATAAATCTTGTTCTCAACAAAACTGTTTACAATATCCATAATAAATTTATGCAATGAGATCACTTTATGAACAAATGCTTTTGCTTATGACACACCCAGAGAAAAATGAAGGCTGGAACTAAAATTAATTATTGGATTGACATAATATTTTAAATATAGTAAAATGATTAGTTAATGCTAATGGAGTGTGTAACTATAACTAATTAATCGTTTAAGATAAAAATAAAAATACACATGTTATTTTCAAGTCAAAGAAAATTGAGGTTGATGTAACTATTACCAATTATTTGTTTAAAGATTTCCTTTATGTGGTATTACATTACATGGCTGTTTTATGATTTTTATTATCATAAATTGTATATTATTTTACATTCAACTTCTGAGAATAATTTAAACTGATGTTCAACCAGGATGTTCTATTTTTAAAGGACGTCGTGTGGATATAGAAGGCAACTCTGATGCTAAATGAATAAACTGGAGAATTCAAAAATAGAATTGGAGGCACTAAACTAAACCGAATTATATTAAAGGAACATGACAAGGAAACATAATATATATACATATAGAAATAAAACTTTTTTGTCTAAGCTTTTTTATTTTTTAATCCGACAAATTAAAATGACTCTACGACGGATGTAGATGATGCTAAACTAACAAACAAATAAACATTAAAATAATTAGTTATTGTTGTTCTTTTATGAGCCATGTTAGAATAACAATGAGAGAGGAAAATAGTCCGTAATGGATGAACTGAATTCATTGTTTTCCAGGAACTCTGATAATTCTTGGAAAAATGGTAAAAAATACTACAATTTTTTTTTTTTTTAAATAATCAGTAGTCAAAATTTTAAAACATTTGTTGTATTAATATTAAGACCTTATAACTTTTATAATTGATAATTAATAGAAGTAGAAAAATATATATATATCACATAATTGTAAATGAATCTATCTTATCTAACTGAAAAGGGGTGCTTTCCCCTGATACTTGTGAGTTATTTGACAAAAACCAAAAAAATGTCCCGAATTTTTAATTAAATGCTAAGAAAATGAAAGATCGAATTCAAAGTCGTTTTATTCCAAACTTTTATATCGGGAAGTATATAACTGTTAAACTAGCAACAAATTTAAAATTAACTAGCTGTAAGTGGAATTCTGTCTTAAGGCAATTAGGGCATCGTGCCTTCAGGCAAATTGCTGGAACTTCCCGTACCAAAAATTATTATTTTTTTAAAAACGATTAACATTTTTGAAAAAAAATTACTTCGAAAAAATAAGATTTTTGAGAAACTATAAATTTGACAAAAAATTACTTTTTTTTGAAAAAAAAAATTGAAAAAAAAAATTAAAAAAAAAAAAAATTTATTTTTTTTTTTTTTTTGAAAAAAAAATGTTTTCTTTATTTTGACATATGTTGGAAGATCTGAACTTTTTTTCAAAGCAATCGTACTGCTTTAACTGCATAGAGACAAAATATAAAGCGCGTAAGCGCCGTGTCGCTGTCTAACGCATAAGCATTGGTACGGAACCCATAGGAATGTTAACAAAATGTATACTTATTGTTAAAATCTCTATAAAATATCTGATAATTTTATGTGCATATGTCTAATGATCATTTTTGACCGCCAAATGGCATTTTTTTTTTACTTTTTTCGTTAGATCTCCGAAACCGCTAGACCTGCCCTTATGAAAATTTGATCAAATCTTCATCTTGTCAATACAAGTAAAATGTTTTTTGAATTATTAATTCAAAAGTACTCAAGTAAAGTATTCAAGTTTTGAGGTACCGTTTTTGGCACTTTTTGCCCCATATCTTCGGAACGGCTAGGCCTACCTCCGCCAAAAACTAATCAGCACGTCTCCTTATCAATACGGATCGAATGTTTTTTAAATTATTCAAATTGCTTCAAATTGTTCCCGAAATCGTCGACGAAAATTTGTATCCGCACACACATACATACAAACACATACACACATACACACACACATACATCCATTTTTTCTAAGGTATGCCAAAATATTCAGAAACCTCTGAAACGTGAAGATATATAAAAATTTTCATTTTCGATTTTTTTGCGATTACTATAACTTACCCTACGGGAAGTTAATAACTCGCTTGTCAAACCTTACTTAATGCATTGTAATCGTTGACATTTTCATAGTTTTTTTGCAAATATTTCAAAAACTTATTCAAACACTTAATAAATGTGTTACATTTCTGAAAAGAATGATCTTAATTAACTTCCTAACATATTATAGATGTACAAAAAGTGAT